TAGGGTTAGGGTTTAGGGATAGAGTTGTTAATAAAAGAGTATATGTGGGTTTTAGTAGGCATTATAGATTTAAATAGGGACTCTAAAATTTCAGCATCATCCAATTTCACGATCATCCGCGACAATAATTTTACATGATTGAATAAGAACAGCCAATTATTGTCGTTCTGGTTATAATATAGACCTCATGAAGTAATGTTGACACATTTTAGAGATGAGATGCCGACAATGCAATAAGTTCTCTATTTAATATAATATCAATGCTACACAAAAATATTAAAAGAATTTTTGTTATATCGATATTATTGATTTTTGATTACTAAATTATACGTAGAATTTTCTATTTGTACTTCATAATTATGCCCAGATTCAAATTCTCGTGTACACTATATTTGTTTGAATATCTTTAGTGATATCAATGCTACACAAAAATACTAATTGATTTTTGATTACTAAATTATAGAATTTTCTATTTGTATCATACTTTAAATAATTTCATAATTATGCCCAGATTCAAATTCCCGTGTACACCGTATTTGGACTTTCTATAAGTTTTTGTTTAAATACCTTTAGTAGTACAATTTGAATAATCACGAAAAAAAGCGTAAAAATTGCTATCGGCCCGACTTTATTGACTGATCTATGTTTTAGTTGACGTGTTTTTTGTTTATTGTATCGAGTATCTCGCCTATAACATGATTATTGAAAAATGTAACCCGTATTGAAATTTATCCAAATTGATTTTTATTTTTAGAGCAATTTTTTGCAAAGCATCCATATAACAATATGATGCATCAATAGAATCTATTACATGGAATTATTTATTTAAGTATCAAATGACCAAGGTAGAAAACTAATATTTGCGCTACTCTTGGTTGTGTTTTGCATAAGCGGAATTGTTGTATCACTTTCAATTATATGTAAAAATTCTTCTGTTAAATTTGATGATTTTCTAATGAAAAAAAAGACATATATATTATTGATATTAGTACAAAATGTAAAAAAAGCATATAAAATAATATAGTATACACCTTTGCTCTCCACACGCTACATAACATCATGATTAATTTTCTTAGTTTGCTGACTGACATTGGCACCTCGTATATAGAGTGTTGTCAACTAAAAGGGCCCATTTTTACATTTTTTAAAAAAATGAGTTTTTATTAAATTCATGTATATTTTGACATAATTGACATTTTTCAATTATAAATGAAAGTCAATTTGCATAATGAAAAATAGTGTCACGGTTCCCCTCGTGACACATTTCCCGGTCTTAGACGGTTACTATTTCTTTTATTATTTTTTATTATTTTTTATTTATTTTTGTTGTTTGTTTGTTAGCTACAATAGTAAGAGCAGTATGCGAGATATATCTGATAAATATATCCATATAGAGTAGAAACTGGATATCGTTGGTGTCGTTGTAGGTTTATTGTCCAACAAATTGGATAACCAGTAGAGAACGGATTGTTTATGGGGGCCTTCCTTGAGTAAATTGTTAAGGGGGCCAAGGTCTAAATTGTGTAAGGGAGAGGAAATAAACATTGCAGTCTAGATTGTAGGTAGAATTGACGCTATATTGTAGTTACTTGTTGTAGAAAGAAAAATGTATTTAAAGATGTCTTTTTCGCCTTAATAAAATTTCCTCAGACTTCGATGTCTTGAATATAAGAAAGATATTAGGAATCGAATTCTCAAAAAGTGTTGAAATTGAAAATTTATTGAACGTTTGATTTTTCTTTTATTATTTTATTTCCCTATATTTATCGATAACCAATTTGCTTCGTTAATTATTCGATAAATATCGAATTACGTTTTACTATAACTTAAACCCCAATTAAATTAAATAAATCACTGACGCATTTATTACACTTATTACCTTTGTCATAATTACTTAAGTGTGATCGATACATTTAAGTGATCAAACCCCCAATTCAATATAAAGTCTGTCATAACATATGAACAAGCCACTCACCCGATATTTATATAAGCGATCATGTTATTTAAAGACCTTTATTTCGAACATTTGATACATAAAATAATCTTTAAGTTAACTATTGGAGTTAAACCCAGCACTTATTGTATAACACTCTCCCAAAACAATAGTAACATTTGGTGCTGATTGTGTGGATTATTGAATAAAGAAATCTCTTAAATATTATCGAAACAATCATGGCTCAACATCCGATGTATGCCTTGGCTAACCAAATTGCTGCATTAGTACAACAAATGCAAGCAGCACTGGCGGTTCAGGTTAACGTTCCAGGAAATAACCGAGAGCTTAGTACTATACCATACCCAGAATTTTATGGCAGGGACCAAGACCCGATATCATGGTTAGAGGATGTAGAAAAAGCATTCGAGGCAAATCTCATCTGAGATGATAGGAAGATAGCAGTACTTATTTCTAAATTAAAAGGACCTGCAGCCACCTGGTGGGTTACAAGAAGAACTCAGAACCTACTAATCGATAGATGGCATGATCTCAATATTCCTCAACAAAGTTTTATGGCTAACTTTGTTGCTAAGTTCCGAACCCCTGTGCTAGAGGCTAAGTGGTACACACAATTAACACAAAGAAAACAATTGCCTGGAGAAAGTGTGGACGATTATCATATGTCAATAGAGGAAATGCTCAGACAGGTAGAAGCTGGTGGGCATCAGTATCCAGACTCAGCAAAAGCCCAGATGTTTATAAATGGGCTTCGTCCAGAACTTTTTATAGCGGTATCTCCTTTAACCCCTAATAATTTAGAAAATGCTTATATGAGGGTGAAAGCTTTTGAGAATGCTTATAAGCATAATCCTACTTATGCTACATACTCCACCCAACCTCTTAATTACTCTCTGTATGGGCTACCAGGCATAACCACAACTACTTCAATAACCAATTCAACTACGAACAAAACAGCTAAAGCTCTAAAAAGCTTAACGGAAGCAATAAATAAAATGATGGTCCAAATGCAAGACCAAAAGAAACTATTCTGACCTCGGCCTATAGGTGCCAACACCAATAACAACTTAGAGGTTGTATATTACTCATGTGGATAACCTGGTCACATTAGTCGTCAATGTTCAAATCGGCAACCACCTGTTGTTAGCCAGGGACCCTAGGTACAAAATAATACCACCACCACAAACCCTAACAGTCCCGTCTCACAAGAAACCCTCCAAGCTTTATTGGCCCTAATTAATAATAGTACACCAGTAAATAACCAAAATAACCAA